TGTAAATTCTAACCTGTGTTTAATTGTGGCAGAAAAAAAATATCTACAAAGGAAACTGTACCCATGTTACTTCTTTCTTCTGAAAGAATTTTCCCTTATTGCTGTACCAATACCTCATGTTCTTCTGTTACAGCAGGTGAAAACTGAAGTAGCAATTTCTGTGCCCCTGGCTTTCAGTCTAGAAAACAAATAATTTTAAAAATAGTCTTCTGAATATTTATTATATGCCATAAAGATACAGAAGGGAGACAAGCCTGTTTCTTCCTCCCTCTTCCTCGCCTTTAGTATACTGTTCCTCTTTAAGAAGCTGCTAGAGACAGCTGTCTAGAGGCAATCTGGTTTTTATTATAAACATGGAGCCTCTCTCCCCTCCCACCCCCAACAGGAAAAACATGTCTTGGGTCTTCCAGTAAGATAATTTTAAAGATTCTAGCTCGGTGATAGAGCTTGTAGTTTTGTGCTGCCTACTCTGGGGGCCTTTGATAAGAGCCACACCTGCTTGGCATCATTGCCATCAGCTGCACAAAACGGGAGCCCTAAAATACCTGGGTGTTTTCCATGCTGAGACTAATCTGCTCTGGAAGAGGTCTCTGGCTTGGGAAGGCTGGGGGAGGAATATCTCAGCTGCTCACTTATGCATCTAGCTGAGGTCAAACTATGAGGACAGAAGTTAGGACTCCAGGCTCCATCTGTAGTTAATGGAGAGGTATTTTCAGGGGCAGTTAAAACAGCAGTGAATAATTTGCTATTGGAGTCTCCATTCACAGTTATCAGCAATGGACCAAGGTTAAAAGTAGCAAGGGGGATGGAGGGGTTGGACAGACCAAGAAAAGCTTTTTACTAACATAGTTTCAACATGGCAGCATCTGTTACAGTTTTAGGGTACAATTTTATGTCATTTCTTTGGATACAAAGGCAGCTTAAAAAGTTTCCTCTGCTGCCTGCTGGTATCCAGCTCTTGCAGAGAGGGCTTTTTCCTGTCTCCCGTAGGTCTTTCCATCCATGTTTTGTAATAGCTTGTGGGACCCTGCAGCAAATTGGATTACTAAAATGACTGGGGTTTTGTTGGGAGGTGCTTTTTTTGTTTAGAAACAACAAGGGTTGTGGAGTGTTTGTTTGTGTTTGCCCTGAACATCTCAAGGATCTGGTTTGGGCTAAACCCACAAACCATGGCACAGCTGGGCAGGAAGAGGAGCAGACTGCAGCGCCGGCATCTATCTGCTTGTGCCTGAAACCCTCTCCAGCTCTGCTGTTAAAGAAAATACAGAGGGACTGCACAAACAGCACAAACTGCCCTTATAAATAATGACCTGATTTTGCATAGCTGGGTTTCTGGAGTATTGAATGAACCATGGCTGGCAGTAAGTTGAACATGTTCAATTTGGACTTACAAAGAAAATGACAGTTTCAGCTTTTGGGTCCCTGAACTTGCCATGTTGTTTGAAGTACTGGATTAAAAGACAGGTTTGGAGATGAATGTTTTCTTTAAAAAAAAACCAAAACATGTAACTCCCTGTTATATGTAGTCTTGCCTCTTCTTAGAACTGTATCCAAACAGTATGATAGGGAAAGGTGTAGAAAAAAAGTACATCATTTAAAATGTTTAATATCCCTTGCCCTGTGTGAAGGTTTAGATATCTCTTTTACTCCATACTTATTCCTGTAGTGGCCAAGACACTCTTGACTTTCTTCAGTAACCTTTTCTGATTAGCATGACGTGGATGAAGCTGCTTAATTCTCTCCCTTGTTCTAGAAAAGTTAAAAGACCAGAGGAGGAGAACAAGACCTTTGCAGACCCTCCCTTCAATCCATCTCATTCCAAAGCATGGGGAGGACTTCAGATCCCCTTGTGATCCCCTCAGCCACTGAATCCAGACTTGCTAGGAGACTTCAGTTTTACTGTAGCAATTCCTGAATTACAGTTTTATCGCTTCAGTAGTAAGGCTTTTCTTTTTGCACTGCATTATTCTTGAATCTTATGTCTGTTTCTTTCTCGAGGTGTTGTTTTTTTTCCCCTTTCCTCCTGCAGTCAGATGTACACTGCAAATGGCACAGACAGTGCCTCCTATTGTGGCTCAGGCTCAAGACTTCACATATGTAAAATGTGACTCGCAGCACTTTCTTTGAAGCCTAACCACAGCCAGGGAGCTGTAATTGCAGTCTTTGATTTGTGCCGACTTCACTTGTGGATTGGGCTTTGCTAGGGCATGCCTTGCCTGGCGAGACTTCAGCTGCAGCCCCCCAGTGAAGCCTTAGATGTGGGAAGTCTTCAGTCTCCTTAGCACATGCCTGTGGTTTCATGAAAAGAATCCTGATTTGACCTGTTTTATATCTGTAAGGCAACACCATCATCACTCGTATTTTTTAGGTATTATTTGGTTTATCAGCAATAGAAGCAATTTCCAGCGTGTAGCCTTAATGTGCGGCAGGGGAAAGGCTGGGTTCGAGATGCTGCTTTCAGGACAGCTACTGTGTAATTTGCTGTACTGCTAGGAAATAAAAATACGTGGGGCTTCCCTGTGCCTGTCCCCTTCCAGAATCACCATGGAGTCTGCAGCCTCTCTAGAGGAGCTGGGCATAGTTAGGAGCTATGGAAAGGAGGCAGGCGCTGCAAAAGCTGCCTCTGGATTGAGAAAGAATCAATGGTCGCTGTTGGAAAAAGCTGAGGGCCAGACCAAGGCCACGGTCGTTATTTTAACCTCCTGACTTCAAAGACAGCTTGCTGGTAAGGGAAGGAGGGAGGAGGCAGGGAACCATCTCAACAGAAGAGCATTTCATTTCCTTCAGTGAAGTAGACATTCCTGGCTGCTAATGGGGAGTAGCTCTGAATCACAGCGCTTGTATCAGACTGCTGTGAACTACTGGCCTGGCGCCTCAAGGCCATTCCTCAACAGGAAGCTGAATGTTTTCATGTAAGACTGAGAGGAAAACCTTCCCAGGAAGAGCAACCTGGACCAAACCTTTGAAAATCCGGGATGAAAAGGCACAAAATAAATATAAAGCTGCAGGGTGCTCTCCCCAGTGTTTCTCTGCTGTTTGCTTGGCCTCTCTTTCGTGCTCCTTGGAAAGGTAGAGCCCTTCGTAGCTCTTTGATCCGCACGTGTTACGGAGCACTGCGCTACTTTATAAAAAATAAAAAAAAAAAAAGGCAGGAAGCTCGGGAGGCTTTTTTTAGCTGGGACATGGGCTGGTTTTATGAGGAAATAGGAACTGAATTAGTCAATACAGACCACCTCTGTTGAAACTGCTGGTTTGCCAGGGGACTTCTAGCTGTGCTGTTTAAGAGGCCTCAGAAGCTTTAAGACCTTTTGTGGCTACCAGCAGCAGGTGTAAGTTATTCCTTATGTACCAGGGATGTGTTTGGGTGACAAGGGAGTCTGCATCAAATCTAAGCTATACAGAGCAGTTTGCTACAAATTCATGCTGGTCTTCTACCATAGTATGCAGCTAAACTGAAGTGTCCTCAACTTTCCTTTCCACTACAACAATAGCCATGTGGTTGGTCTCTGATAAGGAGTCAACTTGTTTAGTAAGCTTTTGGGGCCTTAGCTTATGCTGATTAAAATCAAAGGGTACAAAAGCAGTTTTAGAGGCTTTCTACCCTGGACTACATGAGGCAGTGTAACTCCTTACACTCAGGAGCTGCCACACTACTCAGCCACAATGAGTGAAGCACTTTGTGTTGTAATGGTTTACATGGAAGCTGCAGCAGATGGGAGGTGAGTGCTCAGTTATAAATGGCCTTGGTTTAAATACTGCTGAAATGTAATGTAAAATTTGCTGACAAATTCAGCTTGTGGGTCTTGCAGGCTTAAGCAGTCTATCTATCATGATTAGTCTAAAAAGTTTGACTTGTGGTTTAAACCATTTCTTCATAAACTTTTTCTGTCTTGCCTTTCGTGACTCAAGGTGCTGGCAGTGTATCTTCTTTATGTGACTAAGCATTTTATGTTTCTTCTGGTGAAAATTTGTTTACCTTCTCCACTTAAATCCATTCTTGTTCTAATTTTGATCACTCTCAGAAGCGTTGCTCATTGAACCTTCTACTTGTTTAGAAGTTGGCAGATCAGCAGTACATGGAGACCTAGAGGTTAATGTTGATTTTTCTGAGATACCAGTAATCCCCAGTTACTGGAGAGCGTGAATCCATATGTGGAAAAACATCTGACTCATCAGAGAGACTTTAGGTGGAGACCCTGTTATAAACCACTTGTCTGGATCAGAAGGGCAAGGGGGATGGTTGAGTTAGCAATTTCATAAATCAGCTGATGTAACCCAGAGATCTAGTGAGGAAAAACTGTTCTGCTCTAGATGAGCATTTCCTATTAGGCCTGTACTGTGTGTCATTTCACATGCTCTAAGAATATAAATCCTACCAAGATCTAGTGAACTTTAGTGCTAGGCAGGAGGCCCATGGTTCTTGCACAGCTGGAAGATGTTCCCTACCCTGCTGAAGAGCAGAACAAATCCTCCCCAGTCATGAGGATGGATGGTAGAATCAGTGTTCACACAAGCCTCATCCACCACATTCCTCTACCAAACTGCTTGCAGAAGACAGCATTTTTTCATGTCTGCAGGGAGTAGAGTTCGAGGCTCTGAAATAGAGATTTAATTGACCTCAACCACTGCACTGCAGTACTAAAGCCTGAGGATGTCTAATTTTGTAATGGTATCTGGGTCAAATGTTGTAGATAAATGAAATCCACTACAAAAGGGAAGTACTTCTGTAATATGCTGGATGTTTAAAACCCCACCTTTCTAGTTGGTATCTCTTTATAATCCAAAGTACTTTCCATAAATACAGTTGCAAACTTCAAGCAAAAGCACGTAGTAATAAATTCTGCATTTATCTTTGACATTGTAATGCACATTCCACTAATACAGTTGTAAGAGTTACAGTGACCCATCACCAGCTTGTTTTGAGAATATTTTTTTTAAAGGCTTCAGATAGTCTTTATATCTCTTTCTCTCTCTCTTTGCCCCTCCCCTCTTCCCTGTAGGTGGGAAAAGAAATGCTTTCTCAACTTGCAAAGCAAAGGCGGCGACACCAGGACCCCTTCTGGAGATGGAAGCTTGTTAAACCCTAGGTGTGTCCTTCATCCGCACAGACCACCCCCAAGGAGTCTGTCTAGGATGTCATTCACCCTGATGTCACTGCTAGAGACACTGAATCATAAAGACAATCACTGCCAAAATCCTTCACTATCAAGAGGTCCAGCCCCGATATAAATAGAGCAAATGAGCTCCTGGGTCAGCAGAGCAGCTTTTGTCTTCACCTCTGCCTTGCACTCTTAAGCCCCTGTCTCATCTGTGTCCATATTGAGTCAGCAAACACAGTAGCATGGCTGTCTCTGCCTGCTTGAGCCAGCAGAATAACGTAGACCACAGCTGCCCCATACAGCACATCGAGGAATGGAATTTGCCTGGACCAGAATGACGCGCTCAACCTTCTTTTTATTTAATGGTGCGACAGGATCAATTTTGGTTTTAGCTTTTTTTAAGAAACTTGAATGCTTTTATATTTTAACTTTTAGTTTGTAATTTCTTTGGTGTATATTTTACTAGGTATGAGCTTTTAAACAAGTGTCGGAAATCTGAAATACTTTTTAAATAAAAGGAGTTTTTCTTTTGGTTTTTTTTTTTTTTTTTCTGCCAGAGGAAAAATCTGTATGGAAAAAAAGGTTGGCTGTTTTGTTAAACTATTTGTAACAAATAGTGGCCTCTCAGTCTATATAATACAGTGTCCTATAGAACTAAATAAATGTACCAACAGTCAGCTGGTCAGTAGACATGTTAGTCTTGCATCATCTACTCTGTAAACATAAGCAATACATCCAGCAAATCTGACTGCAGTGAGTTCTTCTCACCCATTCCCCTTCTCCTTGTAAAAAGCCCAGCACTTGAATTATTACTTCAATTGTTCTGTATTTGTATCTGTTTTTGTTAGCCTGTTAGTGGGATTTTATGCCAGTTGTTGAAATGAGCATTGATGTACCCATTTTTTAAAATAGTAAGGCACAGCCTTTGCCAAAAATACTGTCAACCAATTTTTTTTTGTCATTCCAGTTTGAGTTAATGTGCTGAGCATTTGTTTTTTAATAAAAGCTTTGTAATAAAACCAAAGTTAACTGTCTTTAAAATTTGCTTTAAAAGAAAAAAAACCAACAAAACAACAGTTTTTGCTAGAATCCCTCAAAGGTAGAAGCAGACTCAGGAAGGCACAGCCACTTGTAAGGGTGAAAACTTTTCTCTTAGTCTTATGTTGTAGGAAATGCTGTTTGGCTGTTTGCTCCCATGAAGTGATTTTGGAAAATTACTTTTTCTTCGAAAAGTGAGCAGAAGTCTCAGTTCCATACCAGGAATAAGGAATGGGGAGGCTCAATGCTCCCTTGTGCTGCTCAGTTAGCTTTGGCCTAAGTGGAAGTACTAAGGATCTCTCCATCATCATTTTCCTAGCAAAATCTTACGGAAGGGAGCAGTGGTTTTAAGCTGATGATTAGGAATATGGATTTCCTTCTTTCTGGACGTGGTCTATGCCCACACAAGAGGCAGAGGCCTACAGTTAAACTTCTTGTAGCTGTATAAATTATGAAACAGCTTGAAGCTGGCTGCAGAATCAGCTGTGCAGGGCCTGGTTTCATAGTCTGAGATCCAGAGTCAGCATGGCCTGCCTACTGCCAGTGGTGCCTGGGATATGGCAGATGTTCCTGCCAAAGCAAGCAGCACAGCTGCCTCACTTCTACTAAGCAACTTAAAAAATACCGGACACGGGAGCCATAGATAAACTTCTTCACTGATTTGTGAGTGGAAAAGAAATACTGTGAACTGTACATTGAATCAGCATTCTTTGTATTCCAGCTCCCAAATCTTGTTTGGTGTGAGACTGGACTGAGTCAAGCTTAAGCTACAAGAAATTACATAGGTCAGTTACTGCCTAAGGAAGCTTTGGAATTGGATTGTTTATAAATGACCCTTTAACTCGGTTGCATAAGAAATTTTATAATTAAAGATGTTATAAAACAGCTTTCTCTTAAACCAGTATGCACTCGACACATGTTCAGTTTTAAGGCTGTAACCAGCATATTAGTTCTTGCAATATTTATTTCTAGCAACTAGTGATTACGTTTAAAAAAAAAAAAAAGAAAAAGAAAAACAAGTGACCAGGCTCTCAGATGGCAGGAGAAAATATCTCTTGAGAGAATAGCAACTGTATACTGGAGTTTTGCAAGACTTGGCTATGTTTCCATTCAATTATCCCAGCCTTTGCTGGAAACCTGTCTGGCTTTTGGTTTGGGGTTTGGTTTTGTTTTTTAAAGGGGAAAAAAGGCAAGTACTTAGTGCTGTAATTGTTCTAAATCAAGGATTACTGCAGTGAGATCTGCAAATTACATGTTCCAAAGACAACAGTTCTTTTTAGAACTTTATAAAACATGACTACTTTGTTTAGATTTTTTAATGGCTATTTAAAAAGCCATTTACCCATTCTGAAAAAAATTGTTCCCAATGGAAGTGTCAGCTTCATGTAGCACATTGTCCCCAATACACCGTTGTGAAGTTGCCTGCCTTAAGGTTGAAAGGTCTTTCAGCCCTAATAGTAAGGAATAATAATTTGGGAGCTAAAAATAGTATTTCTTCTGTTAACATACAGTGAACAAGCACCATGTGTTGGGCTCATTGATGGATCAAAGACCTTTCACATACAGCTATGGGAAAGGTTAACTAAAATGCAAGGGTTAGAATGCTGCCATGAGAGCACCTGAAAACAGAATAACCCTGCTATCCTGGAATACCCCCTGTGACTTGGGTCTGTGTCCACTCCTGCCTTCCCCTGCTAATTGGCATTTGTTCCTGTAGGACCAAAAGAGCCCTCACTGTACTGTGCCAGCTTGTCAGTGGAGACAGATGAGCTAGTAAAGACACCCAAGTGATGATAGTGCTACCTGGCAGTAAGATTAGGTTTAAATCCTTGTGACATGGAACAAATTATTCCAGGTGAGACTCAAAACCAGCACCTAAATTCCTGATGTGCAATTTGGGCAGACATCAGATTCTAACCTTGTCTCTTTTGGGTGCCTGAGGAGATGATTATCCTGTATTTCCCACAGAAAACATCTTCAAAGATTTAAATGCTCCTACCTAATGGCTGAGTTAATTATCCAGACACTTCTGTACAAGCACTCACAAACCACTCTCTGCCCCCACACTTGGTTCTGTGCATGTACTAAAAGCAGTTCTTGCATGGATCACAGCATGGGTAGTCTAGTTCATAAACAGGGCTTTCCCAGTACCTAGGAAACACAGCCTTCCCCCTCCCCTCACCAAAAACAGCGGACTCAGAAGAGGGGAGTTGAGCCAGGACTATTTACAGCGAATCAGGCCAACATCACAGGATGGTCTGTCTCCTCAGGCTTCTGGATCACCTGGACCAGAGCCATTTTCCCTGTGTTACATAAAAGAACAATGCTTCAGCTAACTTTGGCTTCTTATGCAGCAAGTGATGACAGATTCACTAGTTGTGCTTATAGGGGCTCACCAGCTCTACTGAATTATCTTCTGTTGTAGTTTCCGCTTTGGATTAGGCAACAGAAAAGGCAGTAACTTAATTGTACAAGGGTTAGCTTGATGGCTGGCTCAATTTGCAGCAAATGTAGGACCTTAAGGACCCAATCCTTGCTCCAGGCTCTAGGACAGCAGAATCCACAGCATCAGTTGTCTGCACTCCTTTGAAACCACCACAGTGCACAAGGCTTTGAAGAAACCATTCTATTTCCTGGTGGCCTCCCACTCTGATCTACGTGGCAGCTAATTAGGCTAAAGCAAGACTGGCAGAAAATGAAGGACACTACTGAGACTTAAGATATGCCCTGTAACCTCTCCCATTAGGCAACTGCAGTTTTTTCCTTTCATTTGCAATGGGACTAACATGCAAGCAAGCCTCTCCTCCAGAATAAGGACCTGACACAAAGTAGAACGTTATAGGGGAACGAAGTAAGTCCACAAACAGGCAGAAGTCTGCCAGCTATGAATACATTTCTCCTAATTCAGGTCAGTGAAAAACTACTGGGCTGAAAAGTCAGCCAGCCAAAAGAGAAGCTGTAACAGGAAAATGGCTGGCTATAAACACATTCCAAGATGAAACCAAAAACCTAGAAAGTATGGTCAAACACATTCATTTCTCCACGACACATCAGAAACTCTGGATTAATGTATGAATTTACCCTTTGATTCTCCTCATAGATATGAAGCTCAGGTTTTGAAAGCCAAGCAAGCAAATGGGCATCATCCCTGGAAAAGGAACATATGCCAGGAATAGGCATATATCTTAATCATCAGGTTTTGGCCAGGTCAAAACAGGAACTGAAATACCGCTCCCCATCCTCCCAGATAAATAGTCATACCTTCATGTTTTTTTAAATGGTGCCATTTAATGCCATTTAAAATCACCATGGGTTTTAAATGGTGCCTTCTCTTTGGCTGGGACATTCCTTCTGCAACAGCCATGCCTTCACTGAATCACAGATGTCTGCTTGGCTGAGATAACAGTCACTGCATACCTGGTCTGGGAACCTTAGAAAACCAATGTTTTCTTCTTGTGAATGATGTTCTACAAACTACATTTTGATAAACTCATCCATCCCACCTTCCAGAAACCCATCACATACAAATAAGCAACAGGTTCATTAACCTGTCAGCTATGGAAAAATCAGCATGAACCAGAAAATTTCTTCTCCATACTAGAAGACCAACTCAACCAAAAAGTGGTCTGTACGGTCTACTGTGCTGAGAAAAGGTAAGCGACATAATAAAATCTTCAGCAGAATAAGAAAAACAATATACTCCAAAACTTAAGGATGATCAGAAGAGTTATTTGGAGAGGCCATTCTTTTAATTTTTTGTTTGAATTTGTACGAATTTCCTACAGCTAAGAAAAGTGGCTAAAAGTCTCCGACTGGATATCTATTCAACTGAGTTAGGACGTCTCTGTCTTTTAAGACAGAGAGAAAAAGCCACAGAAGCAAGCACTCAGATTTTGACAAAGCAAAATGCTATAGAAAGTTTAGTTTTTCTTGGCACCTGCCTGTGAAAGCAAAGTGCTGGGTAACAAAAGAGGAGACAGTACACAACACAATATGGCAGTAACTACATCCCTTGACTGAAAAAAGTCCGAGATGGACAAGATTCTTACATTCTAGTTGCTGCTTTTGCTACCCTGAAATAAGTTTCCTTTTTACTTTTCTCTGTGAAATGTTTAATTTTGTCATGATTAACATCAGCAGCAAGAACTTCTTTCATTCTACACTCTATTAATCCTAAATTAATAGGCAGTAATCATATTTGCAAACAAATCATGTGACAGAACAGCCACTACTTTTTTCCCATAAAGACCTGATAGCTTCAAACTGTACTCAACTTTTTATGACAATAACCTGAAAGAATTCACAATCAAAACACCCTAATCTAATAACTCTCAACAAATAAAAGCATAAATGGTTTTAGCCACTGTTTTAAAATTCAAATTTTTAAAGGCAGATTTCACATATGATCAAAGTTTCCCTTTGAGTGGGACTGGTATAACTGGCCCAGAAATCAAACCACTCACAGCGCTTAATTAATCACTGAGCAGTCTAATTCTGCCTGCACTGGTACTCTAAAGTAGTGACTACCCATATTTAATTGTTTAGTAAGTGTGAATTTACTGAAATTACATACTGAAACTGAATTGCAAGCTGTTACTCAATATTCAAGTAGTTTATTCCCTACTTCCTCTAGTATATTTGATTTCACTTCTACTCCAGGGCTCCTCCTTCCTTCCCCTTCTCTCTTGTATTTGACTGACTCCTCTGCTCTTGGCTGTCCATATTGGCATTAAGAATTCCCTGCTGATGGAGCAGCTTTGCTAACTGCTCTCACCCACTCAGAAGCAGTCCCCATTTTCCAATGACCTAATGCTGGGTTTCCAATGAACCAAAAAAAATGGACTTAAATCTAGCACAGGTCTAACACTTTATATATTTTCATTCTGTCCAGCTTGGAAACAAATACAATTTGAAAGTAGAAAAGGGAGA